TTTTTTTTTTTTTTTTTTTTGTGTATATATATATATATATGCAAAATACCTTACCACCTCCCTAAACTTGACACAGATTATTAGTTACAACCTTAAACTATTCGTTGTCTTAATTGCCTTCCCTCCCCCCTCAACTTGACCTTTTGAGTGCCAGTACCCACCTGGACGTTGATGCGGCAAAGAGTGTGGGTGCACTCACCTGCCACGTGAATTTTTCTGCATATTGTGGCATTTTTTTGAAAAATAAAATATATTTTTACCTTTATAAGTATGTTACCTTTTTAGATATTTTTTTCGAATACAATATATAATAAAACTTGGATAGAACTACATTATTTAGGCTAATTTTTTATTTGGCTAAAAAGTTTTAGTTAATTTTTTGTTGAATTTGACTTGATAATGAAGATTTATACAATTAAAATAAATAGTCAAGGCATCTAACAAGTTATAAATATATGTAGTTTGAAATTAATTATTTTGGCTATAATTTTTTATATAGCTCTAAATTATGGTGCTCTAAAAATATACTTTTTACACATTTTACCTAAAAAAAAAGTAAAAATACACAGTTGAAATAAATAGTCATTGCATCAAGAAAAGAAATAAAAAGAGTGTACAATTGCAAGAAATAACTTACTCTATGGATACACTCTTTTTATTTCTTCTTTTGATGCAATGGCTATTTATTTCAATTGTGTATTTTTACTTATTTTTAGGTAAAATCTGTAATATATATATATATATATACAGATGTTCCTGGGTCTTCCATTCGAGACGAAGATACCAACCCTACGTTTACCATGGCTTCCACATATGATTTTGGCCTTCTGCTAATTATCTATGCGTATTCTGAAGATGTTAGAACTTGGAAGCATTATAATGGACATTAGTGATGAATTGGCTATAATATGTTTGGGCTGTAGCAGCTAAGCCTAATCTTTGGCTAAAATACAGCTAATACCATTAGCAGTAGTATTATACATGTGCATCATACGAAATTTTGGTGCTATTTGTACATCATGCCCCTTTACACCAGATTTACAACATAAACAATTAAGGAGAAACTTAAATTCTATATTCATCCACTTCCCTTGGAATAAAGATGGCTTTATACAACAGGAACTTTGCAGCAAACATCAAAGATATCTTCCATGGGAGCGTGGTCACCGGTTCCTTCATCCTTCCATGCATACAACAATTGCTTCCCTTTGAAGAGAAACATCCCTCCCTGATATACAAATGAATATTACTATCTTACACGTAAGGGCTAAAGAGCAATCATGTATAGAAGTCTCAAATGGACGGATTTGACTACATTTGGGCGGGTTAAAATGGTACAAAACAATAAATGGATTGGATCATAACCCGCTCAATGTTTTCTTGGGTCAAGATGAGCAGATCAATTTTGGATTAAACAATAATTAATGACCCTGAGTCGTCCAACTCAAAATCATTTTCATTGGTCAGTTTGTTCGTTTATAATTTGTTTAATTACATAATCAAACTATATTTCCATGGGCTAAACTTGACACCCCTAATTATGAACAACAATGCAGCAGTAGAAAGAAAGAGCTTAAACCTGTTGCAAGACACCACTTCTGTCATCAGGGGTGGCTTCAATAGTGTAGTTCTTTGTAGCTTCTTGCAATTCTTTGAATCTGGAGAGCACTTTAGCCTGGCACGATAAATAGTCAAGTAAAGCAAAAATTAGGTAAAGATCAAGTAATTATTATCTTTGGCGCATAATGATCATTTTTATGAAGAGAAACTAGCTTCTTGAGATCATTACACTTGCTGGGTTGAAAAATGTGCGCCCAAAACCATAATACAAGCCTAGAACATCGTATGCCTGAAATACAAAGGAAGTGTGAAAATCCTCAAAGAAAAGAACACCAAAGGAAAATAAAGTATTTGCATAGTTGTGGAGAGAAAGAGATACTAACCCTGCGGTCCGGATCAGCATACAAGCAATCCAATGGAAATGGTAGCTGGCCACATGAATAATGAAGCTAAAAGAATCAGATCTCACGATCCTTAAAAGATATAATCAAGATATTAACAGCATGATGAGTTGCCAGTTTAAAATAAGAACAATAACAGCTACTATGGCTCAATCCAAAACTAGTTCAGATCGACTATATGAATCCTCAATATCCATCCTGCACCATTTGGATCTTTTCGTTTCAATGCTCAACAAATTGGTCTTTCAAGACAAGTTAATCCCAATTAGTGTACGTTTAACACCTAACCTAGTATAAGGGTACCAACTAATTGACATTACCATATAGAGTTTAAAAGTAAAAAACTTCTTAAAATACTCTTACCATTACGCCAGATGCCAAAATTAAAACTACTTCAAGGATCAACACTGCATCTTATTTCCTATGAATAAGGCTAGATATGCCATGCATGAGATGGATCCAGACAATGCATCGTAGTAGTTCAACATAAATGTATTCTTACGACAGCAGATACTAATTATAGAGGTGTACATGTAAACTGAGCATAGGGCACCATATATCTCTTGGTTTCTCTCTCAATTACATAAGCATTTACGTCATGTACTGTTTGACGAAGCATAACACAACCAAACAGGGCAATTGCTATCTGAACTCTAAAGTCAGTGTAACTAAAAACAACTCTTTAGATATACATACTAGCCCCTTATTTAATTCCTTCAAAAGTAAATCAAGTTTCAAATCTAGTCCAGATTCCTCGACAAACATCAACATTTGGCCACATAGCTTACAAGTTACAACACATCAAGGACAACTGACAGAATCAAAAGTTCCACAAGCTTGTTGTGGGCAAATCCACTTATTTGCTAAAACAAGCATGGAATACATAACAAGGATAATCATCATAGCGCCCAATCCGTCAAATCCCCACCACCGGTCCCCTGAATCACAGAACAAAACAAGGATTTCAAGTCCCTGCATTAATTCCTAACTCTTGTTCTTCTTTGTTAAAGTTTCTAATAACAGAACTTCAACTTTAGTTGACGTTTTTCAGCGAGCACATGTTATTTAACTTTTAACATATACATACCGAACCTCAAATCTTCTTCTTCTTTTTGTTTGATAAATGAGAAACCCCTAAGAGCCAATGTCTCATGGTTCAAAACTCGGTGGATAATGGATCTACCCCTCTACCCTTCTCCACTTAAATACCAGGCTTTTATCCATACCAAACCTCCAATCTTAGTCCATTTCTTCATTGAGCACATGTGGGACTTTACTTTCCTATAGTACAAGCCTTTATTTACAATATTTTGGAAAACCTTCAAAGCTATGGAGTGAGCTCAAGGTAATATTACCTTGAGAGGAAACTCAACTCTTTAAAAAAAGAATGTAAAAGAGCAGTTTTGCACCCTGAGTGCTCTTTACTGGATCACATTGTGGTAGTATTGACACGACGAAAGATAGACAAGACCAGGTTTATGGATGCTTTAGGAACAAAACTGCCTTGCTCCCTTGGGCAAGAACAAGTAATTTTGTCCTTTCTACTAAATCTGTATATCGTTAATTGTCATAAGTACCAATCTCAATACTACATACTGATTTATTGCACTTATTCAACTATATAAGCTTGAATTTTGCATAACAGCTGCAGCAAATAGGAAAACTTGCACATAGGAGAAACGCAAAACAGTCCAACACTCAAATTTTTTAGTCATAAAATTTCTTTAAATATCCTACTAAAAATCCACAATAATGAGATAACCTCGTTTGCAATTTTAACATGGAAAAAAGGGAAGAGAAATGGGAGAACTGGGTAAAGAAAGGGAAGAAGTAGCAATAACATGGAGACAATTAGCTTAAATTCCAATAAATCAAAATAGAAAAGTCACTAAAGCAGATAGCATTTTGTGTTTGATTCGATTTGTTCCATGGTTAGAGATAATTACATTTCATTCTACCGGGAATCCTGTGCATAACAAAGTGCATATTTCCGAAGAGATTTTTACTAAATTTGATTATACTTGAAGCATCTGGTTAGATCAAATATAAGTACCGTATCAACAGGACCAACTCAGATCCAAGATTAGGATAAAGGTAGATCTAGACTTACTGCAATCCAACTCTTGTTGGACTGGTCAAATCCAAATTAATCCTTAAAATGGGGAAACCTTAATTCTAAAAAAGAAATGAAATTTTACTTTTAATGTTAGTTTCTGAAAACTGGCATGTTACTCCCACTGAATCCAAGATTGGTTATGCTGAAAACAACCTTCTTTAGTTTTTCCGGAGGGCTCCAAAGCTAGTATTATATCTGAAAGGTAATACCTTTATTCCCAAATCACCTCAGGTACCATAGTTACACCCTTGTTTTAAAAGGGACCCACTGGGATTCTAAATCACATAATTCTTAAAATGATGTTTATTAACAAACATACTGTCAAAGATAAACCAGCACCTTCAATGATTAATTTACCTAGTAACTCCAGATTGTTGGTTGACTTAATCTATGTTCACATGATAATTCCATTACAAATGGCATGGTACCGTGGAACATTCCCATTTTTTAAACCTAAAGCCTTCACTTGTAAAAGGACAGCCTGGTGAACTAAGCTCCTGTTATGCGCGGGGTCCGAGAAAGGGCCGGACTACATTGGGTCTTCACTTGTAGTTTAGAAAAACTAACAAGCGCACATATAAATCCAAATACAAAATTGCAATCATGCGAAAAAGAACTTGCAAATCTGAGGAGTGGACATTGTACACGAACATTCTCCCAAAACCCAAATTTCCACCAACACACATGCTAACTATATGCAAATATTAAAAATACAGCAAATATCTTCAAACATAAGGATAAAGGATGATTCAGACAAACATTCTCTTCCCACCCATGACACAGAGCTATTATGCACACGAACTTTTAGCCAAATAAAGTCAAGAGGTAAGGCAAATCCTACACTATATTCTTGCACAAACCACATTTAGATACCTCGTGAATCAATTTTTGTAAACTTGACTAGAAAATAAAAGATTTAAGCTTGCAAAGTTAGCATTTGTTCATGAATTGAGAACAAAATTTGCACTTGAACTTGGAAGATTTTTCAAGCTGAAGCTGTGGTTTGAAGGTGTATTGCAAGTGAAGTTTTTCAACTATCAACTCCAGCTCATGATTCTTCAACCTTTACTCGCTTTTATTTCTCAAAAACTACAACTATTCAAACATAATTTCAACTTCTACAAATGTTCTTTTTAATCTGCTGAACAACTCAACTTTTACAAACTATTTCCAATTTAAACTTCAAATATATGTCAAGGGGCCCTAAGTTTGCTTCACCAAGTGCGTCAGAAGTTTGATATGACAGAAAGTGCAATTCAAAGTAAGAGCTCAGCTAGCTTATTTGAAAGAAATACAAATAATATGTCACAGAACTAAATCATTAGCAAATTTTTGAAGTAAACAACGGAATGCAACATTAGTGGTAAAGTTGAGATACCCTTTCAGCAAGAATACGAGCTTTGCTAGGAGCACCGATACCGACAGCAATTAGCTTTACACCAGCAGATTCAAATCTTTCCCTTGACTCTTTGAGTGCTTTAGCAAGTTCCCAACTAATAATGCATATTAAGCAAGGATATGAAAAGAACAATTGCAGATAATATACCAAAATATTCTCTTGAAAGCAAAGGGCAGCATGATTTACCAGCATGGACAGCCAAAATGCCTCAAGAGTGCAACAACAGCTACTCCCTGGGGGACCAAACAAACCAAGAAACAAAAAATAACTTGGCCATAACAAATGCAATTATGGAACAAAAAACATCACTCAGCCAATTGACCATGCATTTAAAGAAAAATTACTCAGTGTAGAACAATTCTTGAATACTTAAAAGCATAGGCGGGGCTGTGATATAAATTCAATGGGTAAAACCTTTTAAGATTCTTGTCACATAAAGCATTGCAGTTTTTGAATTGTGGGTTCAAATTTTCATATTCATTGCAAATTCAGTTGAACCCATCATTTCCAAGGTCCGTTAGCCTCTTTTAATATATAATTTTTTTGAGTTTAAGTTCTATGCACGAATTGCGTAAACAATATTTACACAATAAGGTCACTTAATAAGTTAGTTACATCTAATTCTGATAAATGAAATGTCTAGACCAGCTTGCGCACACCTCAATTAATTCACCGACAACCTGTTACAACCCACAAGTGCAGATGCTGGACTAACTAGTTCTTGTAAGAATAACTCTTCTTTGGCACTCTAAATTATAGCCATTTCAGGAATTTAGACAGCTTAAGATCTCAAATCTTGGAAAATTTTCGAGCTCCCCCCCAAAAAATCGTTAAATAAGCAAAAATAAAGATAATTGAGTAGAAGGCAAACACCTCATTTTGATCCCAAAGGTCCTCAAACTTGACGGACTGACCAGTGGCAGTGAAGATGCTAACATCAGCGAGGACATCACCGATGTTTTGAGGGAAGGCAGCGGTGGAAGAAGCTTTAGTCACGAAATTAGAAATTTGTTTTGGTTTAGTGGGTCTAATTGGAGAAAAGATAGATGCCGTGGCAGAGAAAGAAGAAGCAGAGGGTGATGAGGAAGGGAAAGGGTCAAGAAACTTGAAAGTTGTCGAAGTCGGGGAAGAAAGTGAACGTAATTTTGCAAGTGTTAGGCTCTGCAGAGATGTCATGGTTGCCATTTTTTTTGTCTTCACTTCCACTTCACCAGAATTCGTGTGCACTACTATAAAAAAGACGAGAGATGATTTTGCGTGGACTTGGCAGCTTCTAGTTAGGCAAGGATTTCTAACTAGACCAAAATATGACCGTCCATTTCCTTTTTCCGTGGCTTGGCAAAATTTCAAGTCCAACGGTGTACAACAAGCTTGAGTCCGTTTCATGCTAAGTTCTAATTCCGTAATTATAACAGTCTTTTTTTTGTTAATCTTTGACGGGTAAACTTTAACATAATTGTGTAACGATCCGGCCGGTCGTTTTAAGAATTTACTGTCTGATTCCCTATTAACTGTTTTTTCCCGTGTTTGTTTCTGCTATTGTGAGTTGTCGGAAGGGTTTATTTGGAGTTTCGGAGAGTTTTGGGACACTTAGTCCCTAAATAAGAGCTTAAGTTTTGAAAATTTGACCGTAGTCGGGACAGTGTAAAGACGGTCTCAGAATGGTATTTCGATGGTTCTGTTGGGTGATTTCGGGTTTAGGAGCGTGTTTGGATTGTGTTCTGGAGGTCCGTAGCTAATTTAGGCTTGAAATGCGAAAGTTGAATTTTTGAAGTTTCCGGTTCGATAGTGAGATTTTGATCCGAGGGTCGGAATGAAATTACGGAAGTTGGAGTAGCTCTGTAGTGTTGAATGTGACGTGTGTGCAAAATTTCAGGTCATTCGGACGAGGTTTGATAGACTTTTTGACCGAAAGCGTATTTTGAGAGTTTTTGAAGTTCCTAGGCTTGAATTCGATGCTAAATTGGTGTTTTGATGTTGTTTTTGGCGTTCCGAAGGTTGGAACAAGTTTGAACGATCATTATGGGATATGTTGGTAGGTTTGGTTGAGGTCCCGGGGGCCTCGGTGTATTTCGGATGCTCAAACGGGCACATTTGGCCTTTGGGAGATTGTTGGTTTTCTGGTATTTTTAGCAGCAGTGATTTGTTCATTGCGATCGCGTGAGTCCATCCACGATCACGTAGGGTAAGTTGAGGTCAGACATTTTTTGTGAATCGCGATCGCGAAGGTAGGCGTGTGATCGCATAGGGTGGGCAGTGCTAGTCATTGCGTTCACATAAGGACCTTTGTGTTCGCGTAGAAGGACTTGGTGTGGCAGCGGGGTAATGGAATTGCTCTATGAGATCGCATAGAACTGGTCGCGATTGCGTTGCTTGAGGAAGTTGTCTTATGCGATCGCATAGGTATTTCTGCGATCGCATAGGGTTAAATCTGAGCAGTATTTAAATAGCACATCCGCGACCCTTCTTCATTTTTCCACTATTTTTGAACGGGATTGAAGCTTTTGAGGGAGATTTTTGAGGAAACCAAAGGGGAATCACTTGGAGGTAATATTTTTGACTTCATAACTTGTTTATATGTGATTAAGGACCTAATTAGTGGTGAAAAATTTAGGAAAAATGGGTAATTAGGGCTTAAGATAAAGAAACCTTAAAATGGGTATTTGAGGGGTCAATTGAACTCCGATTTAAGTGTTCTTGTTATGTATAGACTCGTGAGAGTATGAGAATTTTGAAAATGTAAATTTCATCCGATTCCGAGATATGGGCCTGAGGGTCGTTTTAGTCATTTTACCTAATTTCGCGTATTAGCTTAGAATATCTTTGTGGAATCAGTTACTTGAAGTGTTATTTACATTATGCAATTGAATTGAATAGATTTGGGTCATTTTGAGTCGAGTACTCGTGAAAAGAGCGTGGTTTCGGGTTGATTTTGAGTTGGTTCGAGGTAAGTGGCTTGCCTAACCTTGTGTGGGGGACATTCCCCTTAGGATTTGATATTGTTGTAATTGAAATGTCTTGTACGTGAGGTGACGAGTGCGTACTTGTGCTAATTGTTGAAAATTCTGCTTTCACTGAAGTAGCTTTAATTGTGTTTTTCCTTTCTTGCTTACTCTACTCGAAATTTATATCTGCTATTAGCTTAGAAAAGCATGTTTAATTTACTTAATTGCTTTATTGTTTAAACTGCCGAAATTGTATTATGTGAAGTATGTTAGGTTAGAATTACCTATTTTTACTTGGTACGAAATTTAGCTTAATTGAGTATTCCTTGTGTTGTTGCTGTGTGTTTTACTTCGAGACTACGGGACGACATCCCGGGAGATCCCCTATACGTATTTATGATTTGAGTTGAGGTGCGGGATGCCGAAAGATCTCTAGCACGTATATTGAGGATACCAAGAGATCCTCGGGATACCAAGAGATCCCTAGCTTATATTGAGGATACCAAGAGATCCTCGGGATACCAAGAGATCCCTAGCTTATATTGAGGATACCAAGAGATCCTCGGGATACTAAGAGATCCATGGCATGTATTGAGGGTACTAAGAGATACTGAGAGATCCCCAGCCATTATCTTTGAGAAGAGTGATATTCCTGGTGATTTTTTCTGTTTCTGTTTCAGTTATAGTTATCCTTACTATCCTGTATTGATTCTTATTATTATCTTCCAACTGTACTGCTTTACCTTATACTGTCGCACCTTATATTTCATTTAATATCAGTGGGGCCCTGACCTTCCTCGTCACTACCCGATCGAGGTTAGGCTTGGCACTTACTGAGTACCACTGTGTTGTACTCACGCCCTTTCTGTGCATGTTTTTCATGTGTAGATTCAGGTACCTCCACTCAGACTTACCAAGCTCAAGACGTGTCACGACCCGGATTTTCCACCTCGGGAGTCATGATGGCGCCTACTAATGTGAGCTAGGCAAGCCAATTATTAAACCATCTAACTTTTTACCAATTTTATTCTCTTTAACAATTACGAAGAAATAATATTTAAACAACAGAATATAACATAAGCGGAAGAAAACAATAAGTCATCTGAACATGAATATCTATTACAACTATTTAAGTCTCGACTACCCAGAACTGGTGTCACAGTTTCACAGACGGTCTAAGAATACTACAAATAAAGGTCTGAAGGAATTAATTACAACACTGTTTCTTGAAATACATGTAAGAAATAGGAAAGTAGATAGATGGAGACGCCAAGGCCTGCAGACGCCTACAGGACTACCTCGGGTCGCCTGATGATCAAGAATCAGCAATCTCACTGCGGTTCGAAGTCCACAACACTGGGGTCTGCATAAAAGAGTGCAGAGTATAGTATCAACACAACCGACCCCATGTGCTGGTAAGTGCCTAGCCTAACCTCGGCAAAGTAGTGACGAGGCTAGGACCAGACTACCAAATAAACCTGTGCAGTTCAATTATATACAGCGGGAAAGAAATACAGAAATAAACAAGTAAAGTTGGAAGGGGGAAACATGCTTCGGGAAATAGCAGGTAAAACAGAATATCAAGAGAATTATTAAGGAATCAAAACCACCCACTAACACGAAAAAAGGTACAAAGGCATATTTCACTTTCTTTTCATATCTCGTGGCAGGCGTGCCACCCGCTCCCATTTCACTTTGTCTTGTGGTAGGCGTACCACCCGCTCCCATTTTATTATATCTTTGTTGCGGCGTGCAACCCGATCCACATATAATATTGTTGCGGCGTGCAATCCGATCCATATATAATATTGTTGTAGCGTACAACCCGATCATTGCGGCGTGCAACCCGATCCATATATAATATTGGTGCGGCATGAAACCCGATCCATATAGAATGTTGTTGCGGCGTGCAATCCGATCCACATATAATATTATTGCGGCGTGCAACCCGATCCATATATACTATTTACAATTATAACGAGAGTCCCGACAAGAGATCAATAAGGTCTACACTGTCCCAGCAAGGGATTCGACAGCACAAGCAATCACGTCCCGGCAAGGGAGAAACAACTATAACCAAACTTGATACCACACCTAACTACCTTAGCTATAACCAAACTCGTTACAACATCTAACCACCTCAGCTATAACCAAACTCGTCACCACACCTAACTACCTCAGCTATAACTAACCTCATTCCGACACCTAACTACCTCAGCTATACCCATAATCCCTACCCAACACAAAGAATCCTCAACCTAAGCATTCGTAATATCAATTAAGAACACAATGCAAGGGAACCACAATTCAACAATAGTCTGGCAATGGGGCAACATAATGATCTTTTCTTTTTCTCACTCTTACTTCATAATTTACTTCACAACTCGAGCCAATGCTCTAAAAGTTCAATTGTCACTTATACTTTCACAATTTTGCTATACAACTTGAGACAACGCTCCTCAATGTTCATAGGTCACAATTCTTTCCACAAACTTTATACAATAATTAGAAATCTTCACCAAAGCATGAATAATACAACGAAATCATGAAAATCACAATATAAGACTCACGGTCATGCTTGGCACCAACGTATAGATACTCGTTACCATCCCTATACGTCGTACTCAACAAGAAGCAAATAGAAAATAGGACACAACTCCTAATCCCTAAAGCTAAGGTTAGACCAAACACTTACCTCGATGCCACGAACACAATTCACGATTCAATTATAGCTTTACCCCTTGATTCCACCGCCAATTCGCTCGTATCTAGTCACAAGTTACTTAATTACATCAATAAACGCTAAATGAATCAATTTGAATGCATAAAAATGGATTTTCCAAAGTTTTACCCAAAAAGTCAAAATCGCCCCCGGGCCTACATGGTCAAAACCCGAGGTTCGAACCAAAACCTGATTACTCATTCCCCCACGAACTCAAATATATAATTTGTTTTGAAATCAGACCTCAAATCGAGGTCCAAATCCTCAATTTTTTGAAAAATCTAGGTTCTACCCAAAACACCAAATTTCCCCCATGAAAATCATTGCTTTTGAGTTGAAATCATGTTAAAAGATGTTATGGAGTGAAGGAAATGAGTTAGAAATCACTTACTAACGTTTTGGAGAAGAAAGGTTGTTTGGAAAATCGCCTCTTATATTTTTGGGGTTTTGAAAAATAAAAAATAACTAAAAATCCCGTCTAAATATACTATTCTCAGGTGTCCTGTGCGAACCGCACAAAACCAATTGCGGACGCACAACACTACTTGTGTTCTGCGGTGACATGTCTTAGTATTTTGGCCATAACTTTTTATAGAGATGCC